ATGCAACTGAACTTGAAGTTTACTAGGTTTTTCATCACAGGTGTTGACTGCTAATTACTAGTATTAGTATTGTCTTCACTCCATGGTTGCTGTGTAATGAATTCCAATATTAATAGTATTAAAATGCGGCAGTCGTCGTGCCGCGTCCTGTTCGATACGGGACTCATATACAACGCGTGTAAAATACTTTGTTTACATGAAAATCGAACACGCGCTGCGCGACGACCACCGCGCTTTAATAGGGATGCGTAAGAAACGGTTTCTAAAATAGTCACAGAAATTGAAAGTACTCGAAATGTTTCGTAAAGTATATTGATAAACCCGGATAACTGTGAGAATATGTGTTCCATTCAAGTAAACACGTCCTGTCAAATGTTTATTCAGAAAACTGTTCAGCGAAAATCGCTTTCGCATATGTGAACAGAGTTCGTGACCCCTGAACTTACGGTGGACTACTTTTATTTTACAACTCATTAAAATGCAATAAAAATGCAATATAATTTAGGTTGAGTGTTGATCCTTGGATGTTAATAGTCTCGTCACGTAAAACTTATCGCCACCGATGTGACCTCTGTGGTTTTTCCATTAGGGGCAGACCAGTATTTAGTTTGCAGTGACTAACTCGGTTTTTCAGAGCAGGAGATTGCTCCTCTGGGCCGCGGATATGAGGAAATTTTCGCCGAAATCACGTTTATATCCGATCCCGTCAGTCCACAGTTGTGAATAAATATAACTTCCATATATAGTGGTGCCGTCGAGTGACAACGTGGTGTGTGATATCATATAATAATATTATGTTCTTTGTCATTTAAATTTAACAATATCAAAAATAATTATTTTTTTGTTATCCCAACCCAATGTTGATACGTGAACGTCGTCTATTGCATGCATTTCCGTCACGGAATCCTTTCGTCGCTTGAGGGCGCGACCTGCAGAAAATGTATCATTCTGTCCCCAAAGACGTGTGTAAGCAGATACCAAAGCCTATGTAACTTCCGTCGTATGGATTATTTGTTCTCTGCATTTTGGCAAATCTCTCATGACCATTACCCTGTCAAGCGGGTGGTATTATATCGTTATAACATACGCCATTTACTATGGATAACCCTAAATGTTGATAGTTGATAGTGAGATAAATGTAGTTCTTGGGTAACAGCCTCGCGGCTGAAACTATCTAAAACACATAAAACATTAGAATTATGATTTTTCATGCAACTAATCGACTGTCATGTAATATCATATTTTACTATAGAGGACATCTTCCCTCTGGGGTCTGTGAAATAACTGAGACTTTTAATTAATTAATTAAATATTAGTAATCAAATATCAAACAGACCATGGACTATGGACCATGAAAAAAAAATAGATTACTTCTATCAAAGACACTAGTGTCTTTGCTTCTATGAATGGACCATACGACAACCCCCGAAATAAAAAATGGTTCATTCCTAGAGGATCACATTTCGTACGTCACGGGGTCAGTGATATAGGAGCGTTATTGAAATAATAATATTTCTCGAGAACGATATTATTATACATCGCCTGACCTTGCTCTAAGAACGCGATGAGATCGCCAGCTGGTAAGTATATTCGCGTGCATCCACTGTGATCCGCGACTTAGAAGAGCCGGAGATCCGGGTGTTGCCATGGTAACATGTTCAACAGGATGCTTGCAATGTGAGATAAAATGTTTACTGCTTCACTCTGAATTAATTAGGTTAGTTGATCGACATATCAACGCGTGCTCTATATTCGACATTACGCGATGATAACAGTAATTAGGTAATCGCCTATAGTAGTTTTCCGAAAAGTTTATTGCATTCGCTGAAGCACATTCCTTCTATCGTGATAAAAGCTAAACTTCTATCGATATTCAATTTTGTAATCACGTCGACCCTCCCTCCATCCCACGTTCTGTCGCACCTCTTACCTGGGGGGCAGCATACGGGAATCATTGTTTGATCGAATAATTTTACCGTGAATCACGTTGAAAAGGGTAGTGGCGATAATGTTGAATCATGGAGCTAAAAAAAGTTGAATCAGGTATTTGATCAAACGGTTGGTTGATGGTGAACACAATAGAATAGGAAATTCGAGGTGTTTAATTCACAGTCACTCAACAGGGACTGTGTTTAATTATAAGCTACCGGCCCCGGGGTACCGGCACACATACGTCCTAATAAACTAAATATGTTGGTATGTAATAATAATAATAATAATAATAATAATAATAATAATAATAATAATAATAATAATAATAATAATAATAATAATAATAATAATAATAATCTTTATTGTTATCGTATCCTCTATGGGACTTTGATTGAAGAATACAATAAAGGTATAGCAATGAAAAAAAAAATGAGATTAAAAGAGTATAAAACAAAGGTATTAATAAAATATAATAAATGAAAGTAAATGTTTTTTATTCATTTTGAGGCAGCTGGTAGTACTTTTTTCAGGTTGTTCTCCCTGATTAGAACACAGTATTAGAACACAGTCCCTCCACAAGGACACATTCCTTAGAAATGAAGTGTTATATTTGTATAACGAGTGTTGTACTGTTTGAATTCTGCTTTACTGAAGTATTCCATCAATGGTCTTTGTTTACAACTCTTGTCTTTATATGCAAATTATAATCTTGGATTACACTACATGAATAACCTCCATGCCATAATAGTAAACACATGGTTATCTCAACTCCCTTTTAGCTCTATAGCATGGGACACAGCATGTTAGCTCCATGGGCATGGCTGGTCGATTCTTCAAAATATAAATACTCATGTATATCGCTGAATATAGGAATAAATATTTAAAAAAATAGTCCAGACTTATAATTCCACAATACTTCATCATTTTGTATATGGATCAGACCATGTGACTGTGTATTTTTTTACATTCATTCATTTGTCGAAATGAGTCATACTATGTAGCACGAACAATGGAAAATCAACTCATATCCGGTCACGGGTTTTTGCATCCAGATTACTCGCTTTAACGCGTTATAGAACTATCGTGGTTGTGTGGTTTGACAGTAAAGATCCAGTAAAAACCACGGACGTACCAACACGTCCACGTAAAAACGAGTTAAAATCAATGGCCAATAACCATTATTCCACACCGAGACCGAAAGGAGTGGAGTTTAAGAGGGCACAATGATTGAATGGACTGAATAGAATGAAGACCTATGCGAATCATGCGCGGATCATTGCACCGACAAGGACGTAGGGGACAAACACGCTTTGACTTGAGTGTTATTACAAGATACATGTGTATCGGTATTTACCGTGGTCCTTTCAGAGCATAGTTCGATTGTTTTAGCCGCGAACACCCCACCTCGCGCCTCGTCAGTATTAGTAGATTAAAAACCATAGACATTTTCATTATAGAGTTTATGGTTAAACACGCACACATACATTTGATAACCGGGTATTCTAAAACAGGAACGATACAAAACAAGTTGATTTGGTTTCAGCGAAATCGTGCAAAAGCAATGCAGTACGTTGTTTTGTGTTCACCACACAGCTGACCCTCTTGAGTCTTGCGATTCCCATTACAGGCCTCACGAAATAAAAGAACGCGTAGAACAGTCCCATCATTGTTTACGAAAAGTAGCCATGCATCGGGTCTGTTTTGAAATAAACAAGTTTAACATATTCCGCTATCTATGTACGCCGTCATCAGCTGATATCAAGTATAGACCTACTTGTATATAGGTCTACGGGTTAAGTGATGGCAAGCGCTGAGTACTTGCTGGAACAACGATAATCAATATAATGGGATCCTCCCCTGCTCAACTAAAACTTTCAATACTTACCGAATGAGACATAGCAACTCAGAACAAATAGGCGAAACATTTCCAACGCAGTCACTGTTTATCGGGGCCTAGTTGAGTTAGCATCTATCGGTATCTGTAGATCCTATGGTGAAACTGGATTATAACCCCCCACTCGATCTGAAACTTTCTTCTAAGAACCCACTTGCATCCCGGAAGTATGAGGCGCCCGACTATAGTACGTTATTTGCTAAGAGTGGTAAATTTGCATATGAATGACAGTGGTTTTGATTACAAGATACTCACGTGAATCGGCAGACTCAGACACTGGGCGGGGCAGCCATGGCAACGTATACAATAGCACAGTCGCTGATTACATAAAACTTCTTTCAGAAAAATGTCACTTACGATATATTTGAAATTTAGCATACAGTGTTCGCGTATTTTGGATATTGAATTATTAATGGCGAGTTGTGATTTGTAAACAGGAAATCACTGCAATAACAGAGCACAGTAAAAATAAAAAGTTACCGGAAAAAGTCCCATGAGCCTTGCGTAGAAATAAGAACTAATGTTTTTTTCGTCTTTCAGTTCATATTAATGAACAGTAAAAAAATTTTGCATTTGTTCACAATATTTTTTGAGATTGTCTAATTTACATATATTCACAAACATTTTAAAATTGATAATAATAATGGGACAAGGTTTTTTTCCTATTAGAAGTTGAGCGATTTGTTATTGTTTTTCGTGTAACTTTTTTTCTGTATATTTTTTATATAAATTTTACCCAACATTTGTAATACCACCACCACGTACTAAACAAGACTTGATATGGGTGTCCATTTTTGTTTGTACGAAATCAAACCAAATCAAAAACATGGCTCACATAATCAGATACAACTGTAGTTCATAAAATTAATCACAGTCCCTCTATCGATAGAGGGACTGTGAATTAATACTAATTTTTCATCCAACATCCTATGATCTTTATTTCGAGTTTATGAGCCTTGGGATTTATTTCCCGTGGGTTTCTCATGTCCCGGACACTTCACCTTATTAATATTAAATACAAATAGAGGGACGGTGTTTTTTACATCTACTTTTTAAACAAAGCATCTTTCTTTCAATGCGTCACTTGGACGAAGATTAGGTCGGTGGCGAACTCACATACACCGCTGTCGATTTTCTCATAATTCCAAGGTTTTTTTTTCAATTTTTACTCACATTTTTACCGCAGTTCGAAAAACGAACTGTTTTTAATAATGTTCACCGCGTATTTTTTTTTAAACTACCCTTTATTGGTTTCCATGGATATGTAAATCTGAGCATGGAGATAAAAAGGGATTACAAAATGTGTGTTGTTTTAGGTGGCTGCGTGTTGTCACAACTGGATGCTAGTGCTAAAACGTTTATGTTTACATATATCTATCATGATAATACCCCGAACAAACAAACAATTTATTCACTACTGAACTTCCATTTACTAGTAGACCTACCATGATTTAGTG